AACTCCATGAGGTTGGCAGTGATCCTGTTGCCTCTAGAAATGGGCAAAGACATGAATGGCCTACGCAGAACAGGGTGAAGTCCTGCCCAACAAGCCCTTTTGTTCTGGACTTGCCTTAGTGTTAGGCTTAAGACTGTGAAATAAGAGCAAGACTCAGAAATCCAGGTAACAGCTAAACCATTCCTTCTAATTTTATTAATTTGGTGGGTGCAAGTGACATTGTGTCCTGACGCTTTGGAAACAAGAGTGATAACGTATGTCATTCAGCTCAAGCTGCCACAGGCAATGCATGCATACTGCAGCCAACTCGTTAGCAGTTTGAATAACAATAATAATAAAATAATAATCCATAACTGCAGTAGTAGACTGCTTAGGATGGTATCCACATCCATTGAAAAGGTGCCCTGATTTGAAGGTACGATGTTGATGGCTTTTTTCTTTCTTCCTACTGAAAAAGCTGAAAGAGTAACTGGTGCTTTATTTGAGCTAGTTTCCGAGTATCACAGGGCAAAAAAGGGTATGTTTGGCTTAAAACTTTTCATGATTTTAACTTTTTAAAAACACCTTTGGAAAGATAAAGACAGAAATAGACTTCCAAATGAAACCCTACATAAATACTAACATGTGGATGTTTCTACTTTATTAATTTGTTGCAAGTGAGAACATTAATTGTTGAGTATTGTTTAACTGCATTTTTAGGCAATTTCTACATTCCATTTTCAACATGGCTTCTTTCCCATTCTCAGATTTTGCTCACAATTTTCCCACTGTCTGTGGAGAGACTGGAGTGCTGAAAAACCAAATTATCTTTATTCCACCAAAAAAGAAGTGAAAATACAGTTTTAGCCAGCTCCTTAAAACCAGATTTGCTTTTAAAATACAGATGCCACTGGTCTTGATTAAATAAAGGTCTTAGGTCCTTCTGCCCCTGCTGGAGACACCTACTACATCATCTGAAACAAAACCAGAAAAACGGTCTGTCCACCCTTCGCTACCACCTCTCTTCCCATACAGGTGAGGGAACACTGCTATCACAGGCTGCTCCAAACTCGCTGCAACGACCACTTAGTTCAAAAATATAGCGTGACCTCTTCTCCTTGGATATCCCTGAAAGGGTAGTACGAAAGTGACCCCTGCGAGCCCCAGATTACACCAACAAAAACCTTAGAGCAAAGCAAAAAAACTTGTGTGTCAATGCAGAGACAGGCCTCGACCCCATCATGTGCGTTGTGTTTGTAGCTGAAGGCGTGTGTCCAGCTGAGTGACCATCTCAGACGGAACAAGCAGGAAGAAGGACACACTAGCTTCGAACTTGCTGCCGGGTTCAGAATAGCTAAGAACAGCATGTCAACATGTAATCTGCGACCGGGTTTTACCAATTCTGCATAAATGTGTGAAGCACGCCTGCACGCCCCAAGTGTTACGGACAGGCCCCAGAGCCAAACCAACCCACGGGTGCACCCAAGGAGATCCACTGAAAGGAACCAACCTGGAACCTCGCGGCAGAGCGCAGAACTCGCACCAACTCTAGATCCAAAAAGCTCTTCTAACACAACCAAAAGCCACCTCTGATCTGTGAGGCAGCCTGTGAAACAACGCAGGCAGGGTTTCCAGCAGGCCCCGTGTCTCAAGGTCTCCTGCCTGGTCTACCGTCAGTTACCCCACCTCAAGGCTTTGCCTTTTACGAGGCACGAACGAGAAGCCAAGTAAATTCTTCACTGGGTGGGAACATCACACTAAATCTGTCTTTTTTCAGTAACACTTATCTTCTCGAAATCAGGTCTCTTCTTTACGAATGAAAAAAGTCAGAAAAACAATGTACAAAAAAGTTTGCATCAGGAAGATCGGCGCGTGTAATAATTTTCTGTATTCCAGAAAAACAATTTCTACAGCAATTCAGTATTTTGTAATTTTCAGCGGTATGTCGTTAAAACCACCTACTGATCACTCATTTGAGCTAAATATCGGGTACCAAGATGAAAGAGAAACCAAAACAGATTAACGGTACAATTTTGATTAAAAAGCTTAAAACCGATTTTTTTCCACTCCTCATTTACTTGCATGGGTAAAAATAGCAACTCCGCACCAAGCAGAGTATTACTTCTTTTGGAAGGTGAAGCAAGTACACACGAAGAATCAAAACATGTTCACGCTAACTGATGGGAAGAGGACCAAAAAAGAACAGCCCAAAGCAAACGGCTTTCCTACCGCAGAACAGTTGCTGTGAGTTGACAGCAATTTTCCTCATTCCCCGTCTAAAGTTACAGATCCGAGACTCTGGCAGAGACTACAACCGTAAAACCCTCGGCGATGAAAGCAAGGACGTCTCACACAGGCGAACGCTCCGGCAGCGTACCTGGTGCCGTTCTGAGAACCTGCTACCTCCGCTCCTGTAGAAGGCATAAAGGCACGTCCTCCATTTTGTGTGACAAAATGCCTTCCCTGAAATTTCATTCCTAGAAAAACATTATTGCCCAACTCCACCGATACATCTGCAAGTGTTGGGTCTCCACCAGGCACTTGGCTACTGCTTCAAGGCAACTGTGATGGGATAGTTGGCTCCAGTTGAACTTAACATCTTTGGAGACCGGTTTTGTGTACTCTAAGTTGGAATTAAAAACTTGACTGGACAAGGGCCTGCACAGTCTTTTCTGAAGTCAATGCTGTCCTTGCTGAGAGCAGGAATTTGGACCACACGATCTGCCAAAATCCTTTCTAGTCTGGATGAATCTCTGATACGCCTCTCTTCACACTCGAAGAAACTATAAAAATATAAGCCAGGAATTGAATATTTTACCCACATTTAATTCAATGTGTTCTTGCACTTAGCAAAGCTGAGGAAGTTGAAAAAGCCGCTCTGAGGTCTGTACAATAAAATATAACACACAAATCGGGATTTCTTTACGTGCCTCTTCAGTGATTTACTTCAAAATATTTACAGCGAATTCTCATTTTATTTCATTGCTTCCACTCTATACACTGAATTTGCAATTAACGATATTTCAAAACAAAACCAGGTCCCAAGTTCACTATACTTTCCATTTCAACAGTTAGGCATTCAAAATACATGAAAGTGAGATCAGTAACAGCAAAGCAGACCCGCAAATTATTTCAAGTCGGAACTTATGAACAGCAGAACCTTTTCATTATTTTGCCATGACTACTTTTCGTTAGTGATAACTACTATACAGTGACTAATGATTAAAATGCACATCAATTTACAGTATTCACAAGGATAGACACACCACATGGAAGTTTGAAAAAGGTAGCAGACTTCCACACAATTTAAAAGTGACTCTATATCACTGCTTGTTTTATTTGCTAAAAATCATTCCTTCCCCCTGCCCCAAACTTTCATGAAATTTACTGGTGAATCCAAGAAGGACTAAGTTATTTAGAGCGATCGAAACACATTTTCAGTCTAAAAGTCTTGATTTACTACGGAAAGAGGGCAAAAATTGTACATTTCAGTAGTTCACTTGCATTTAAACAGAATTCATTCTGCTCCATAAAATATCTCATCCAGCAGAGAGACTTCAAATGAAGGACAGTGGTGCTGAGTAGTAGATAGTTGCACTCATACCTTTGATCTAACAAAAGAGAAACTCTAGAAATAGCCAATTAATTTTTTAGGCTTTCTATACACTTTGAACACTGACACTACATACATCTCTAAGATTATTCTACTCTTATACGAAGTAGCAAAATAAAACTAAACCCTGAAGATATGAGTGGAAAGTCGACAAAAATGTCACTTACACATGCACACATCAGTTTCTAAGTCGCTTTATTCACACGCTTTAGTTACTGCAAGCCTTGCAAACAAACTGCAAGACAGCAAAATTTTCATTCTGTGCAACTTCGCCCAAACTTAAGTGTTTGTTATTTTGCACAAGGCAAGATTCCCCTTTGTCGTCTTCTGCCACGCTGCAGCAAAGTAAGAAATCTTCTATCTACCTTTACATTACGACATTTATGCCTACTTAAGTTCGTGTCTACAATTTTAAACAGTACTTTTTTATTTTTAATTACACTTAGTAATCTATATCCCCATTTTTAAAACAAGTTCTTTTACAGTGTAAGGAGAATCCGCAGGGCGGATTCTTCAAACTTCCTGTTCTAAGAAGCTTGAAAGAATAATTAGGTTAGTAAGTCAATCATGTCCACAGTGCTAAATCCACACCTGAACAGATTAAGAGACGTTTTGAAGCAGCATCGAGTAAATAATTTTGGTAAGCTGTAAAACTGCCACATGCAAGGTATACTGTACTACAACAGCTCCAAACCCTTTATAAAAACCTAGCATGCCTTCTTCCCGTTTTATGGTATTTATGCAGTCTCTCATTCCCTCATACTGAGTATTGATTGGAAGCACTTCATAGCCAAGGTCTGTATTGTCAATTATTGTGCGTGTCCCTTGAATATGAAGGCGGTGTAAAACTGTCTCCAGTGGATAAAGCATGACATCAGCACAGAGACTAGCAGCAAAGCTAGCAATAAGTTCCGGAAAATACGCGTCCAGCATGCTCTGCACAGAAGTGGAGCTCTCAGTTGGAAGGTTGTGGGAACTATCCCTTTTCAGAAAAAACAAAACGAGCTTCTGGACGATGGAACTGATGACGTAGTGAAGAACTCCATGTAGGGCAGTTGGAAAAGTCAAGACCATCAGAGGAAGGAGACGCTTGCTATGGGGTACTCCCAAGCCCACAACTCTGCCGATTCCTTCTTTCACGCAGTCCAGGATGCCAGGGTTATCTCGAATGATTTCGCTCTACAAGCACAACGGAATAGTTAGAGCTTGCGCTGCCCATTTCACCAGCAGGCTGACATCCACTCTGACACCTTCACTGATGAAGTTTGTAAGAGTGTTAAACACTTGCATGGTATCGTACCTACACAGCTACAGTGACACAAATTCTTTGCTCTCACACGTAACAGCATTCAGGTAAACCTGCTTTTAAAAACTGAACCCATCTTAGTACATTCCAGCCATTTGTGTTGCTCCCAAAGAAATTTAATTTTCAGCCTACTGCTGGAAATAACAGTTTGCAAAACAGACATGTTCTAAAAACACCTACTTCCAGAGCAAAATGACAGGAATTAGTTATCTAACTAAGTCCTTTTCCTTAAAGACTGTAACTCTAGTCTTTGAACTTCAGTGTGCATTACGCCGCCTTCCATAACTAAAGTTAACTTGAAAGATTATTTTCAATTTGAATTAATAGGTTCAGCTCTGGACCTTTCCATTCCATTATCTGCATCTAAATTAGCACTCTTTACCGATGCTGCCTCTTAAAAAAAAATTAATTACATTGTTCATGTAGTGAAAATAAAGAATTCACTTGGTAATTATTTACTCTGTTACACTCCACCTATGACTGTATGATTAAGCTAAAGACACCGTTTTCCCTTCTAATTCTTATACAAACTCAATGTTTTATCATCTCTGTTACAACCAGGAATTCAGGATTTGGAAGCGCTCAAGTCTCTGAGTTCACGCTGGCTGTGTCCTGATAAACCAACACAACATTCCTCAGTACTCTAGGGAAGGACTAACAGCCTGCAAAGCTGTCGTGGGCAGTCTGCGCAGAAGGGGAAATAGTTCAAATACTTGAGAATATAACACCGTTCCAGGCTTTAAGCACAAGTTAAAGCATTACAACCTCTACTGAATCCTCTTCTCCTATATATCACTATAGTCACTGCACTTGCTTTTGTCAAACACGCCATCATGTGGTTTGAAATGTTAAATACAAAAAACAGCTACAAATTTCTACCATTTACAGCTATTCTGATGAAATATATTTACTTGGAGGATTGTGTCAAACTGTGCTGAACAGTATGGTTTACCAGAAGTAAGACAAACAAAGTTAATATAAAACTGTTCGTAACGAATCCCTGTGTCTTTAACTTTTACAGCTTGTTACTGGCCATTGTCCTCTTGCAGCACAGGAATATAATATAAACCTGACAGGCCAAGTTGCCTTCCTGCACTCATTAATGCAGTGTAAATAAAACCCTCACAAATACTATAATTACCTCTGTTGTGTTTGTAATAAGAGAGGTCACGATGCTGCTTCCAGGAACTGGAAAATACATTTCATACAGCATACATACACCTACTGAGTAAAGTACTTGCACACAGCTGGACTGACTAAGCCTAAACCCCCTCAGATCTCAGTGGAATTGTTTTCATGAGCAATGCTTTACAGCGACAATCACCTGTCTAAAAGGCTGGGGGTCATGCTGGTTTGGATTTTTGACCATTTCCCTATTAAGCTGCTTTCTAGCAAAGAAACTTTATGACCTATTTTGCAAACAGAAGACAGGCTCTAATTCGAGTCATATCATTTATTGGTAAATATGTTAATGTCCAACAATGCAGCTAACATCCTTTCTGACAAAAACACAAGCAGCAAGCTACCTGAATAAAATGCTCCATTCTCTGGCCTGCTATGAACTCAATAAACATGAACAATATTCTACCACTGTTTCTAGTTCCAGGATTATGGTATGCTCAGGGTAAAGCCAGTCGCCAGGACATAAGAAGTTTCCTAAGTCAGCTTCCCAGTATGAGATCAGCTAAATCTTCCCATGGCTTCCACAAGCTCAGAGATCCACTCCAGCTGGATTTATGGAACATTATTTTCTAAATAATCCAATGGAAGAGAGGAAGAGGGTTTCTTAAGTACAGAGTAACCTTAGAGAATATTGTTGGGAGTCTATCTGCATACCCCCATGTACAGAAGTTTAATCTCACCTGTACTGCTAGTCCATGACGTGGCCAGTTCAGACAGTACAGCCCTCCTGGTACCTACTGGGCCCTTTAAACCTGGATCCTCTGCACACAGCAGAATCCTATCCCTTAAGAGCACCTGCCTCTAAAGTACATGCTGAAACTAAGAAAATGTACGTTAGCCTTGTTTGCCTCTTCTCTATAGGAAAAGTGGCATTTTGTAGACATGTACTAGGAGCTGAACTGTAGGTTTAAACAGCTGGATCTGAATCAGTCCTGACAGTACTTACAACTTCCTTATGCTATTAATGAAAATTATTTTGATGACTGAATGACAGGAGAGTGACTACCCTCCACCACCCATTACAAAAGCTCACTTTACAGTAAATGTTCTATTAGCTGCACAAAGATACTATTACGTTAATTAAGAGCTCCTCATTATACAGACCTAGCTGGAAAAATTATCCTGGAGCACTTCTGCAAAGCTAAACCCTGACTCCTCCTCAAAGAGGTGCAACCACTCCTGAAAGTCAATTTGCAGTACAGTGCTACAGGTTACTCTGGACAATTACAGAACAAGGGAAGCTGTATCTTAAGTGACAGGTCCAGATATTTATTTTCATGGCTAAGGAGAAAATAGATGAAAATTAAAAGCAAAACGCTGAGTGAATGAAAGTAGTCCTGAAAATAGTAGAGTTCAGTATTTTAGCAAAACAAAGCTGAATTACTGGAAAAGCTTTATAGTTTTTATAGGGGAAGAGGTCACTGCAACAAGTTGCCTAGCAAGCCTTCCAAAACCTTTACATGAGAAAAACGTCTTTACAGCTTATCTGCTAGAGCATACAGATGAAACTTGTCCTTGTTCCATAAACAATATATTCCAACTATCTATATGAAACGTCCTTTCTGATTCTAGATTTAGACTTAAGATACTACAATTAATATACCCACCACAGTAAATACTTTCTGTCTCAGTTAATAAGTGGTATAGTCTCTAGCAAAACAAATAAAACTACCACAACATAACCTGAATCCAAAGCCAAAGACTCAATTCTCCACATTTGCTGATCTATAAAGAGACTAACAATATCTTTTAAAATGTTGTAAATATATGCAAGTTACCTGTACAGTCTCAATCAGGCTTGCAGAATAAAAAGGCATTGCTATCACATGTGTTAAACTGTAAAAATTAACAAGACAAGAATTAAGATCATGACAATACCATAATTTTAGCCAAATATGCACCTGAAAGTTGATGAAGTTATCTACCAGGTCATGTCAGAGACAAAACTAGCAATCCATAACTCAATTATTAAAATGCACATTAACTAGTCAAGCTAAGTTTCAGTCTGAAAATCTGTTAAATTCTATTTCTGTGTGACCAGACTGATTCAGGTGTCTAATATTATAATTTACTTACTAAAAGAATCTAATCCTTTAAATTAGCCAGGTTCCATACAGACACAGGGATTTAGTAACAGAAAATAATCTGTGAAAGCAGTGTATGCAATCAAGATTGTTAAAAAAAAAAAGAATTGTTATTGGCACCCTGTCAAGTACCATAGCTGCAGATTAAACTAATGTACATCTAGTAGTTTTATTAATGCTTAGATAATAAGACATAAGGTAGTACATACCCTTTGAGTAGAAGGTGTCCACCTATCTGACTGAGGTTCCATTTATGTGAAAGCTCCCTAAAAAGAGAAGTATTTACCTTAATATAGATAAGAGCATGTCATTCTCAAGTATTTCTTCCATGTGTGTCAACATCCAGTTTTCATACTGCTGTTTACCTGTTTATACTGCAGGATTTCCCATGTGGAAAGACATATCAGCTACACATTTAATATAACATGCCTAAGTTTTAGAAGTTATTTGGGCCTGTTAGATATTCTATCAAAAAAGCTTTCCATTATTAAAAAGGTGTCCATAGCTCTCACAGTTACTGGCTTTAGTGGTTTGCATCATTACATACTAACCCTTCAAGACATTTTCAGGGAATATTGCATTAAAATCTCAGTATTTTTCCTTGATCAACATACATTATTATATTTTGGGTTGGTTATGCATTTTCTATTTGAGGTTACTGTTTACCCAGTTGTTGTTTCTTTCCTGAAAACCTAAATCACATTCTGACGCAGTTAGACAAAACCACATCAAGTACAACACGTCAGACCAGCAGCTGCAGAGTAATTCTATATGGATGTTACTCAAGTCTTGTAGCTTATAACCAGTCTATAGCACACCACAGTAAACCACAAGAAAACCCACGTGCTGAACACAAAGATGACTTAAAAAAAAAAAATCACTTAAACTAGTATTTTCTATTTGCACACTTCAAAATATGAAGTATGTTCCACCTGAAAGAAAATGTAATTGCACCTAACTCAAGGTAACATACATTTGGTAAATACTCTAGCTATCAGGTAAAGATATTTCTGTCTGAAATGTTGGACACAGTAGACTATGCATTTTAATAACAAGCTGTAATTCTTGTCCAGCAACTGAACTCATCCACTGCCTGTAGTTACAGCTCTAATCCAAGAAAGGAAACTGAATTCTGAAGGATCGTGTGCTAGTAGTAGCTATCGCTTTCCTAAATACATAGGGCAGTCACAGAAGAGGAAGGTAAGATCACTTACACCCATGTATTTTGGACACTTGGATCATATCCACTCAGCCACAATACTTAAGAGATGTCAACAATGAACCCAGACAAACCAATCTGTGAAACTTAACCTGTCAGTCCACTAGGTACATACTGTGTTGGCACAAGGATGGGGGTTAGTCCTGAGGAAGGAATGAGCAGCTACTAGCAGAAAGGACTGTTTCTTTTCAAACCACTGAACAGGACCACAAGAAATCCCTAGCTCACACTGGGCAGAAATTAGAATTATGAAAATATAAACACCGTATCATCACTCATGAACTTCAGCATCCCCTGCAGTGGTATTTAAAAACACGTTAAGCTTGGAGGAAAGCATATACTTGGGAATTTCAGTTATGTATGAGACAGAGCAGGCCAAAAAGCTTAAATGCACACTTGGCACAATTAAAGTACAAAATGCTTTTGACAAATGTCAGAAGACTTACTTTTATTGGTAAGCATGCCTACGTTTGTTATCTTTAAAACCAGGTCAGCTCCAGGCCCCTTAAGGACTTGGGTCTCTGTCCACACATTAAAACCAGGCACTTGTCTCTCCTGAAAGCTAACACAGTTCTCCAGCCACAGTTCTCCACCCATTCAAACTTAACCAGCCTTTAACACAACTATTTGCCTGCCTCCCTCATATATTTTCTAAGACAGGTCTTCATCATTTTACTGGCTTCAGTGCATGCCCTGCAACTGCTAGTATCTATTCCTAAGTTTTGATTAGCTGTCAGTCTCCTTGCACGTCACTACAAGTTTTAGTTACTTTATACAAAAACTCTCTCACACAACCTACTTACTCTTAAAATACCCATAACAACACTGACAACATATACCTGTTGTCAGCCCTTACTGTTAGCTCTGGACCACGACGAAACAAAACACTGACAAAAAGTATTGAGAGAAAAATTCTTTATCAGACTGGTGTCTCAAAGCAGAAAAACATCACAATGTTCTACCATAAACCTGGAGTTACAGTTCAGCATTAAAAGAAGGCAGAGTCACAAATTAAAATAAAAACATATTACTAAACTTCTATAGCTGAAGGTGGACACAGTGAACTGTATCTCCTTAAAGTCACTCAATTTTATCTGTAACCCCTTTATAATGAGAATACTGAACAATATACATATACTTGTTGGTAAAGCAGAAGAGAAGGCAAAGCTGACAGCCATGCAGACTGTCAGTTACCATGTTTTCTTGTTTACTAATGCATGCCATTCTGTTCTCTCACCTACCAAAGCCAGTAACAATGTTGAGGCAAGATACCAGTGCTGGCTCATTAGCCATATAAGTTTTCTGTATTTATGTTAATGAAACTAGGATTTTTTACTTTAGACGTCGTATTTGCTTATACCACACAATACAAAGGAAAACACAAGAGCCTTATGAATTCTGCTATTACAGTGAAGAACAATTTGCTACGTTATTTCTATACTCAGACCACCAGGCAGATATGTTAAACATACAAAGCTCCCAAAAAGCATCTTACTCTTCATTAATTACAAGGTTGTCTTTGCCAAGACAAGCACAATGTGCTGAAACCACTTATTCAACGTCTGACTGTTCTAATTAAGTAACATTTTTCAAATTACATTTCTAACACTTTGAATAGTCAACAAATGATGATCAATTTGTTAGAAGCAGTAAAAAAAAAAACCCCAAACAAAAAACCTCCAAAAAACCCCATGCAATACCTTGGCAAAGGTGTAAATTCACTGATGATGCCTTCTGTTCCCAGGGTTATGCCCTGAACAATGAAAGTGCTGCCCATTCCTTTCCAGAGAGCTCTTGGACCCTGTGTTTTGAATTATGCAACATATTTTGATTCATGCAACATAAAACTCCAAAATTTTTTCAACTTACTAATTTTTGTAAGATTTCAGCAAATTCAGGTCACACAGTGCTACCATTCTACCGTCAAACTTGATTATCTCCAAATTCAGGGGACAAATAACTTTTCAACTCTGAAGAACCTTTTGTTCTTCAATCACTTCAAACAGTTGTCAACAATTCTGGAGGCATCTCTGACTGTTAATAGTCTGTACCATAAACTTAACGCTATTTTCTATGCAGAAAATTAGCTTGAGATGTTAAAGCACATCAGTAAAAAATCACACAGTCTTTTCTTATTTTCTGATCTGAGATCCAGGACTGCCATTCCCGTGCAGAACTGGAAATTCATGCAATACTATCTTTGGATGTAGTCATTCAGATAATCTCTTTAACCACATTAATTATTTTTTAGAATCCTAATTCAACAAATTCCTTTCAGAGACCTTTTGTTTTCTAACATCTGTAAATCTTCCCCACTAAGTAATATACTTAGTTTTTCTTTTTTTTTAACAATTATCTTCTTGAAACGTATCTGCAACCATAAAAATAACAAACCCTTACAATGGCCATGTTTTTAACCACCACTTACAGAAGAAGTTAGAGATGTCAGCATACGTATGTGCTACAGTAACCTTCACTGCTCAGATACGTCCTGCCACCCAAATACTGACCTGTGTCTTATTGATGCTGTACATAATATTGACAATAGTAAATGGAGTGAGATGATAATTCCGAGCATGATAGTTAACCTGTTAAAAATATAAATAATGGCAGTTTTATAAACACACTTGCAGATGTTTCAACTCTAAAGGAAAATGCACTTCCAAAATAAGGACATTAAGGTCAGCTATAGTGACCAAAATATGAATAAATTCTCACTTAAATTTAAGGCAACAGGCAGAACTTGTATTTGTATGCTGAAAATGTAAACAATAAAGAAAGCATAAAGCAGAAAATACTGGAAACAAAGCACCCTGCTTTGAAATGGGGATTTGGGACTTTGCCTGCAAACTCCGAAACACTTACTTGCTGTAATTATTATTCCACTGCCCAAACAAAAATGAGTAAGAATGTTCAAGATTTTCAAAACAGAAAACATGTTTGCTACAATGAAAACATGCTAATGAAGCAGCCTGTCCCTGGCAATTGTAAAGCTTCCTTATATTCTACAGATTATGAAAACACAGAAATAAAACAGTACAAAAGAGCTCTGACTGGAAGAGGTAATATAAGAGACATACCTGACACTGACGGCGTAGAACAATGCAAGGGTGTGCCAACACATTTTCTGTAAATAGGCTTTAAAAGAAAGGTGTATTTAAAGCATGAGAGGCTATTGTAAATTTAGGCGAAAAGCAACAAGCCTTTTCTAAAACAACCTTAGATAAGTATTTGGATAAATTATATATTATCTATTAAATTAATGAGGCATTTTGTATGGCCACCTGAGAGTAACAAGTATCAAAAGCCCGACACATACATCCACTATGAAAAAGTCCACATATATAGTACGTACATATTTTTATAGGCAAAACAATGTACCAAATTTCTTAAACTTTCCCTCTGCAAAATACAAGGGAATAAACAGGCCAGAGCCAGAATTATGAGAGGATTAGTTTACAGTGTTACGTGAATTCCACGTACCACATGAATCAAGATCCTAGCAGGACCAGAGGATTGGTACTAACCCTTGACATTTTTGTGGTCAGGAAATCCTGTAGCCTAAACCCAACTCTCCCTCCACCCCCAGAAATGGTATTTCAATCAAAAGTCCAGAAGAGAGTTCTAAAATAGGATTCCTGGTCACAGCCAGGCAGAGAAACTTCTCATTTCATCTCAAAGTGTCTGAGTGATCAGAGTACTTACCTGCAGGTGGTTCAAACCTGGGACATGGATCAGAAAAGCAAAACCTTCAGGCTCTGTCTACATCCCAAGTAACAGCTCTGACCACCAACCTACAGGACCACCTGGGGTAGGTCTTTTATGGGGATTTTACTCTGGATGAACAAGTAGTAACTTGCACAGGAAAGTACCGCAGTTTTGTAAGAGTTTCGTAACATACTCCCGTATGACTATACTGCTCTTGTGAGACCCCACCTGCAGTTCTCTGTCCAGCTCTGGGGCCCCCAGCATAAGAAGGACATGGACCTGTTGGAGTGAGCCATGGGGACAGGCTCACTGGGAGGGAGTTTGGGGTGTTCAGCCCCGAGAAGGGAAGGATCCGTGGCGACCTTATACAGCCTGGAGAAGAGAAGACTCCGGGGAGCCCTTATTGCACCTTCCAGTACCTGAAGGGGCCGACAGGAAAGCTGGAGGGGGACTTTTCATGACAGCCTGTAGCAACAGGACAAGGGGTAATGGGTTTAAATTGAAAGTGGGGAGATTTAAGACTGGACATCAGGAAGAAATTCTTCCCAGAGAGGGTGGTGAAGCGCTGGCACAGGTTGCCCAGAGAAGCTGTGGATGCCCCATCCCTGGAAGTGTTCAAGGCCAGGCTGGATGAGGCTTTGAGCAACCTGGTCTAGTGGAAGGTGTCCCGGCCCATGGGGAACTAGACGATCTTTAAGGTTCCTTCCAACCCAAACCATTCTACAATGATTCTAAACATTGAGCTAATTAGTAGCTTGCTACTATGAAAAAAGTGAACCTTTCCCTGTACTCCAGCTACTATTTATTGATTATTTATACTATTTATAGTTGAGTTGGCTACCAGCTACTGCTCCTGGTAGCCAACTCAACTAACCTCAGAAAAACTAACCTTTTGGTTATTTTCTACAAGAATTCTGTCTTGAATCATGAGCGTCTGCCACATGATTTGGTACAAATGCAGAAGCAGGGAGGACTGCTCTCAGCCAACGGTACAATGTTGATCAGCTCTCTTTCCCAAAACCACATGCTCATTTTAGTCTTAACAGGCATGGTGTTCAGGCTGTGAAAATGTCATGACTGATTAAATCAAAGCATACAGTTCAACAGCACAAGTGAGCCAAGCTAGCATCTCTCTGCTCTTAAAGGAGATCAGCATGTTCCTGCCCTATGGCTCTACTCCTTTGCTGGTAGTCTCCTGAGCTCTTTCATCTTGGTAAGGTTGAAATCAAGCACCTCTTTACACATTGGGTGTGTGGGCATGTGTGTGTGTAGTTCTTTGCCTTCCCCATCAACTCTACATTAATAAACTGGGGGGGTCTAAAGGAGAGTCATGGAGGGGTCTGAATGAGCAAGCTGAGCCACTGCAAGCAAAGCAGTGAGAGAAGAGGGACAGGCAGTTTCATGAGATGGGATGGTCTAATTTAGGCAACTCAGTACTTGCCAGAAATGGTCATTCCTAGTCCTTATTTATCCGTTCCCTCTCTAGTCCAGTTAGCTGGTGTCTGCTAGCTTCCACCGCTAGTCAACTCCCAGGTAAATCAACCTAACTGAAAAAGCAAAAAGTAATCCAGCTTTCATTGTCTTGTTTTAGTGAGTCAAACTGGTTAAAAGAGGTTCTGATGGGAATCAAGGGTGACAACAATGCAGTATGGATCAGGACAGGCTGGTGGTCAAGTAAAAAGTCCTTCTCTTTCAGCAGAAGTAGGGTATAAGAATCTCAACTAACAGTTTCCCATATTGGTGTAAGCAGGTAAGTGACACAAGTACTCCCATGTTCTCAAGAGAGAAGCACTTTGCTCTGAGAAGTCTCACATTCAGGTCAAGAAGGAGTAGAATTTATTTTAGTCCTAAATTTTTGAAGACAAAAAAAAAAACCCATCTCCAACCCTTTCACAAGTTGCATCAGTACACTGACCAAGAAAAACCTGATCACGAGTGTGATTGAGCATGCATCCAAAAAAAAATCCTAAGCTTATTATTACACAACTCTTACCTTGCAAGGCCAATACCAAAGCCTGCAAATCTGTTCAACTGCTCTGAAAAAAAAAAAAAAAAGAACACAGATTATACAGCAGTGTCAACTGCAAAGCAGGAGCAAATGTCATGCAAAGTGTCTGAAAAACTAATTTTACCCTGTACTTGCTTCAGAAAATTCCAATCACTCAATGACAACATTTATGCCAACTCTGTGAGGGAGGATATAAAAAAAATTACTCCCCCAAGAATATTTGCACTTTGGGCTGCATTTGAGCTTGTACATACTTTTATAAATAAATTTTTGCCTTCAAACAGCTACAGAGGGGAAAAAAAAAAAAAAAGAGAAAAGCAAACAGAAAAAGAGAGTGTATTTTGGTATCTAAAAAAAACCCAAAAAACCAAAAGCCTACCTCAAACCAACCACTAGTTAGCATCCATGACAGTTTACAATAATTCTGAAACGTAAATTTAGATATCTGAAGTGAAATTTACTTTAAAAAGAAAAACAGCAAGAAGAGAGAAACTCTGGGAAAAGTAACACAAAATGCCAATGATGACAAAACAACAAACATCATCATGGTGCACATTGTCAAGGCAGCTGTTTACCCCCACTCCTTTGCAAAAATCAGGTTACTAAAGAACTGTTAAAATTGCAAGGAGAGTAATGGGTTCAATTCCCTGTTGCCTGCTACTAGACAGACATTTACACATTGGGAATTATCAGATTAGATTTTTAACTTCAGAACTGCAACAGCAACTGGAAACTAATGCTCAGCCCTTCAGTCTACAGGGTGCAAGGGGGCTGTAAACATGGGTAATGACAGCAACTTCTGCAGAGCTCCACAAAGGCGTGACAACCCTCCTAAGGGGAATGATAAGACCCTCTCCACTTGCAGAAGCTGTACTCAGTGATAGAGCAACTCCGTATCAGGCCTCCAAAATGCAGAATCAACATACCCTCCATGAACAGATAGGACACAGAACCAGGCAGAGTCCAAGTATCTAAGAATCGCTAAGTAGTGCTTGCATGGATAAAAGTCCAGCTAAGGGTTGTACTCATTTTAAGACTTGAACATAAACCCTGCACTACAGGTTAAAAAAAAAGCCATTAATACAATTAAATCTTAATTAATCTTTCATAAAACTTTGATACTCAAGTGTACATAAACTGCTCCAGAACATCCTTTTAATTAAAGCAGATCATGTTCAATAGCCTAAATTTAGGAAGTTTCTCTTAATTCACCTCAATTGGACAAAGACTTAAAATGACACTCTAGTTCTGAGGCTTTCTGACCTGTTTCCAAACAGTTACTGGGAAACACTTGGATGCATATGCTCCCTCAAGCTCTACCACTTCCACGGTTCCTTTACTATCATGCAGCACCCCTTGTACTTTTTCAACGTAACAATAAAGCAGCCAGAAGACAAAGAAGCCTGAAACATCAACACTGACCAAGTAACAAAATACACTGTTAAGACCTGAAGGTACTTCCTGCCCTTACAGAAAAGGGAACATTTCTGCAGGATATCGTTTACATGAATAGGGAGCCGACCACACGCTGCTTAACTAGGAACTGCGGGGTACGTTCTGGCACTCTCCATCATATTTGCGTGTAGCTACGGGGTGCTACACAGTGAAGCGGGTGCAGGACTGCAACAGGAGTTGGAGAAGCGTCTTTTTTTCTAAGTAACTTTTTTTTCCTGGCGCTTAAGCATCGCCAACCCGCGGCTCCAACGC